CCAGGGACCCCGGGCGTTCTGGGGGCGTTCTCACGTCCCCCTCATGTCCCTCCGTGTCCTCCTCCATGTCCCCCATGTCCCCGTGTCTCCCCCCGTGTCCCCCCTGTGTCCCCCATGTCCCCGTGTCCCCCCGGCGCCCCCGGGTCCCAGTGCCCGCCCCCCTTGCTCCACACCACCCGCCGCCAGGGGGCGACACCTCCCCGCCCATTCCTTCTCTTACCCCGCGCTCTGAGGCGACCCCGCCTCGCCCCGCCCCTTCCCTTGACCGACGCCCTCTCTACCCAATCAGAGACGCTGTCACTCCCGCCCCTGGAGTTTAGCGGTTTCCATTGGACCCGCGACGCGGAGGGGGCGGGCCCGCGGCGCGGCGCGGCCAATGGCGCGGCGGGGGGGGCGGGGCGCGGCCGCCATGGCGCCGGGGCCGCGCTGACCGGCCCGAGCCGCCATGGCCGGGGCCATCGCCTCCCGCATGAGCTTCAGCTCCCTCAAGCGCAAACAGCCCAAGACCTTCACCGTGCGCATCGCCACCATGGACGCGGAGATGGAGTTCAGCTGCGAGGTGAGGGCCGCGGCGGGGAGCGGGCGGTCCCTGAGAGGGGACGGGCCCCCCGAGCCCCCCCTCAGCCCTGAGGGCACCCGGACCCCCCGGAGGGTCCCGGGGCCTGTCCCGGCCCGGCCTCGGTTTGGTTGTAATTTCGTTATAATTCGGAGTTATCATGGAGTAACTCGGCGTGATTTGGGTTATAATTGAACTTTATTGTGGTCGTAATTCGGGTTTATTTTGGTTGTAATTTGGGTTTATCCCCGGCTGTGGTTCAGCTTTATTTTGGCTTTAGTTCAGGTTTAGTTTGGGTGTAATTCGGGTTTATTTTGGTTATAATTTGGCTTGATCCTGATTATAATTCAGCTTCATTCTGGGTATAATTCGGCATGGTTCTGGTTGTAATTCAGCATGGTTCTGATTATAATTCTGTTTATACTTTGGTTATAATTCATGTTTATCTTACTTATAGTTTGGCTTATGCTTTTGCTATAATTAAGTTTATACTTTGGCTATAATTCGGGTTTATCTTGGTTACAATTCATTGTTATTCTGGGTGTAATTCACCTTTATTTTGGTCATAATTCACCTTTATTTTGGTCATAATTAATTTTTATGTTGGTCATAATTTGGCTTCTCTCTGGGTATAATTCATCTTTATCCTACTTATAATTCAGGTTTATTTTGGGTTTAATCCAGCTTTATTTTGGTTATAATTCAAGTTTAGTTTGGGTGTAATTCAGCTTTATTTTAGTTATAATTCAGTGTTACTCTGGGTGTAATTCAGATTTATTTTGGTCATAATTTGGCTTTACCCTGGTTATACTTTGGTTTCATTCTGGTTAAAATTTGACCTGTGTTTTGGTTATAATTCAACTTTATTCTGGTTATTGTTCAGCTTTATTTGGGTTATAATTCAGATTTATTCTGGCTGTAAGTCACCTATATTTTGGTCATAATTTATCTTTATCCTGATTATAATTCGGCTTCATTCTGGGTATAATTTGGTTTCTACTTTGGTTATAATTTGGCTTTATCCTGGTTATAACCCAGCTTTATTTTTATTATAACTCAGGTTTAATTTGGGTGTAATTCAACTTTATTCAAGTTACAATTCAGCCTTATTCTGGTTTCAATTCAGCTTTATTTAGGTTATAATTTGGCTCTATTCTGGCTATAATTCATCTTAATTCCAGGTGTAATTGAGCTTTATCTTGGATATAACCCAGCCTTACTCTGCTTTAATTCAGCTTTTTCCTGGCAATAATTGAGCTTTATTCTGATTATAATCCAGCTTTATTTTGGTTCTAATCCAACCTTATCCTGCCATCCCAGCCCAAGGCACCACGAGGTGACCAGGGCTCGAGGGATCCCAGGCTTCAATCCACAGGGATCCAACTCCAAGCACTCCCCAAATGCACGAGGGTGGAATTTTGGCGCTTTCCCAAGGATTAGGGGTGCTCTGAGAGGGTTCAGGTCTGGTTTTTCTCTGATAATTCCCCTTTTTTGGGCCCTTGGAACTTGTAAAATGTTCTCCCATTCCGCTTGCTGCCAGACCCTGGGATCTGCTCTGCTTTTCCATCTGATCCAGAGGGATTGGACACACAAACATCTCTGTCCACTTCAACTTCTTCATTGAATAGTTTATATTTCATTAGTCTGACCCAAATCCTGGTGGAATCCCAGCTCCCCTCAGCCAAGGAGTGTTTGTCATCACCAATTTCCTTGCTCTGGAAATCTCTTGTCAGCCCTGAAGAACTTCCTGCCTTTCCCAGGGATCAAGGATTTACTGTGGGCAGCAGTGAGAGCTTCCCGCTTCCAGCAGAGTTGGAGCACCTGGCTCTGCTCTTGCCTGGTTTTTCCAAGGCTGCCAACAATAACTGGTGATGGAAAGTGAATAATTCTTTATTTCAGTGTCGGTTCCCGTTGGGATCAGGGATTTGTGCAGAGGTGAGGCAGCGATCCCGTGGGATTTGGCTGTGGAACTTGTGCATCTTCAGCTGACTCTTTGGGGAGGTTCCTGCCAAAGTAACTTGTTGCTGCAGATGGACTTCTCCAGCTGGAAGGAGCTCGGGAGCTGCGAGTGTGGTCCTGCCGAGGGCTCCTGGATCGTGTCAGAGCTGGCACGGGAGGGAAGCAGCGGGAATTCAGGCCTCAGCCTTCAGTGCAGAGCACTCGAGCAGGAAGGAGGGAAATAGTCATGGAATCCTGGAATGCTTTGGGTGGGAAGGGACCTTAAAGCTCATCCAGTCCCACCCCTGCCACGGGCAGGGACACCTTCCACTAGCCCAGGTTGCTGCAAGCCCTGTCCAGCCTGGCCTGGGACACTTCCAGGGATCCAGGGGCAGCCACAGCTTCTCTGGGCAACCTGGGCCAGGGCCTCCCCACCCTCACAGCCAGGAATTCCTTTCCAGTATCCCATCTATCCCTGCCCTCTGGCAGTGGGAAGCCATTCCCTGTGTCCTGTCCCTCCATCCCTTGTCCCCAGTCCCTCTCCTGGAGCCCCTTTAGGCCCTGCAAGGGGCTCTCAGCTCTCCCTGGAGCCTTCTCTTGTCCAGGGGAACCCCCCCAGCTCTCCCAGCCTGGCTCCAGAGCAGAGGAGCTCCACCCTGGAGCATCTCCATGGCCTCCTCTGGACTTGCTCCAAGCACAGGACACCCCAGCTGGAGGTGTGAGCTTTATCCAGGCTTTATCCAAGCAGTGCAGCTCCCTGGCTGGATCTCTGGCCCCATCTTTGGTTGTGCAGCTCTGGGGAAAGCCCCTTATTTTGCTGACTCTGCAGAAACACCCTGAACCCGACACGGGACAGGTGGATCAGACACACCCCGAGTCCCTGGGATTGGGAACGTGGCCCAGGGAAGGGCTTGGCTTGGTCCACACCCACAGTGGGACCTGGAGCCAGGAGTGGAGCTTGTGCCCTCCTGAAATCAGTGAGGAGGGAGAGTTGATGGTATGGGGAGGACTGTGCTCCTCCCTGAAGGAATCCAGCCCTTATCCCAAGGTTTGTTGGGAGAGGAGTGAGCAGCTCTGTGTGTGCCCGGGTATCTGTGTATCTGAGGTGTCTTTGGCCAGGAAGGAGAGCTGCTGGGAGAGGGGAACCTGCCTCACAAACACCTCAGAGGATCACTGGGAAGACGTGCAGCGGGAATCTTGTAGTCTGGGGGCTCTCGGGGTGTGTTTTTGTGGCCTGTGAGTGGCACTTTGTGCTTCCAGGGATGGAGAGCTGCTGGCTTGTTGGACAGGTGGTGGGTATCCTGCTCCTGGGGCACATCCCTCGGGTTGGGCTTGTTGTGTCCCTGTTGTGCTGAACCTGCTCCCTGCCCCGGGCTTCCAACCCCACGGAAAACCACAGCTGACAGGCGGAGGGAGGAGTGCAGCAATGTTTTACTGCCTAATCCACTGTGGCTTCACCCCAGGCTGCCCATCCAAATGGCCTCCCCAGGGAGCTTTGCTTGAGGCTCAGGAGCTGTTGGGTGGCTGTTGGGAGCGGGATGGAGCAGTGGGAATTTGCTGCTCCATGTGCTGGGACTGCTGGTCCCCAGGAAGAAGAGGCTGATTTCCGTCATCCTGCCGTGGCGCCTTGCCATGCCCGTGGGCCCATCCACTTCCAGAAGTCCGGGAAGTGGACTCCCTCCCTCCACCCCAAATATCCACTGCTCTTCTCCATGTGCTCCCAGCCTTGCTCTGAGCGTTGCTGTGTTGCTTTTGCCCCTCTTTTCCTTCTTTTCCAGAAGCTGGATTCCCATTGGCAAGGCTGGGGCCAGCGAGGTCAGTGCCAGCCCTTGAGGAGAGCAGGCTGGGAGATCCAAATCCCTAACTCTGGGACATCCCAATCCCTAACTCTGGGACATCCAAATCCCTAACTCTGGGACATCCAAATCCCTAACTCTGGGACATCCAAATCCCTAACTGTGGCATGGTGGCTGGCTCAGGGATGGACTGAAGGTCTCCCAGTACAAACTACAGAGCCCCAGTTCCTGTCCCACCTGTCCCTCTTCCTCTGACCCTTCTGACTTCCCATTCCTGGAGTTGCCTTGTGCAGATCCAGGAGTTGGACTGCAATGATCCCCGTGGGTCCCTTCCAGCCTGGGATATTCCATGATTCCATGACCCCTCTGTAGCTGCAGGAGACACCTTTCTTTTTCCATGTTATTTTTTCAGTCTGCCCGGTAGAAATTCCCAGCTGTGTATTTTAAGGGATTAAACCTGCTTTGCATCTGTTTACTCTGCAAATGATGTCTCTAAATTGAGCCTAAATCTAAAATAATTCCTGGAAATGAAATCTTAATCTTTCCAACACGGCAGTGGAGATTAATAATCACGGTTGGGGTTTCACTTTAAAGACTCGTAATTTGTTTGGGGAAATCTTGAAGGCACAGAGCAAGTGTCTTCCTTTTGTTACTTCCAGCACAGAGGTTTGGGTTGGTACCTAATTAATTGATAAACATCTGGAGGAAGGATAGACATTTGCATAGCTCTGAAATCGCTGTGTTAAAACAATCCCAGCTGCCTCACCTTCCTGACAACACCTTGGAAAACCCTCCGGAGGCCTCTTCCCTGGGAGGGTGGGGAGGCCCTGGCACAGGTTGCCCAGAGAAGCTGTGGCTGCCCCTGGATCCCTGGAAGTGTCCAAGGCCAGGTTGGAGAGGGCTTGGAGCAGCCTGGGCTAGTGGGAGGTGTCCCTGCCCATGGCAGGGGGTGGAATGAGCTTTAAGGTCCCTTCCCACCCAAACCATTCCATGATTCTGTGGTTCATTCAATGATTAAACCCCCCTGGTACTTTTGGGTCCACATCCAAGGCACTGTAGTGCAGCTGGTGGCAGGTTGGTCTTACACATTCCCATGTGGAGTTTTTTCCCTCCCAGAACCAAGTTCCCTGGTGGACAGGAGAACCCATCCATCTTTCTTTTGGCCATGTCTTTGCCCATTTCTCCCTCCTGTGGTGCTCGTGATGGTGTCTCTCCATCACGGAGCCACAGCCTCTTTTCCGAAGGGTGTGGGTTTTTTTCAGCCCTTTC